CTGCACTAGATGGGATGACATGATGGGCCTTTGGGATACTGAACGTGCTGTGCTTCGGTTCTCTGCCCCGACCCCTGCTTCCTGGGACCAGGCCAGCCATGTGACTGCCTCCCCCCCACTGCGGGCAGCAGCAGAGCAGCTTCGGCAGAAGGATCTGAGGATTTCCCAGCTGCAAGCTGATCTCCATCGTCCAGCCCCTGCCCCTGCCCAGCCCCCTGAGCCTGAGGCCCTGCCTACTATCTATGTTGTTACCCCCACCTATGCCAGGTATGGGCTCTGGTGCACCCAAGAGGCTTGCATGGACCGAGAGGTGGGGGTTGATGGAGAGGATTTGGGGGAGGCATTGGGCCAGGGAATGCTCCTCAAACCAGGGCATGCCAAATGACAGGGGAAATGAACCACACCTTTACTCAAAAACTTGTGGGAAAATGGTTATTTTCTACTAAAAGAGATAGGGGTGTGCTATGAAGTGGAATACAAAATCCGTGAGAAATTTTAAGATAGAACAATATCGTTTCAAAGAAATTTGGAGCTTGCCACGGGGTTCACTCTCTCTCCTTAGGGATCCTTTGGTGAGAAAGTTTGAGAACCCTATCTAGCTTGGAGTAGACAAGGGCTTGGTCCTGCCTGGCTGGTGTGGCTCAGTTGGAGTGTCATCCCATGCACTGAAGGGTCTCGGGTTCGATACCCAGTGGGCACATATCCCCCAGTGGGGGCGATATTTCTTTCTCACATCTACATCTCTCTCTTTCCCTCTCCCTCTCTATATAAAATCAATAAAGATTTAATCTAGGAGAGGATTAAAAAAAATTTAAACTATTTAAAAAAAGGGGGAAGGACTTAGTCTGGTAGTTTTTACCAGGGTCTAGAAATAGTTATATTAGATATTATTTACAATGTGTTTACTCTTACCAGGCACTGTGCTAAGGGCTGCACTATTTTTTAAAAATACATTTTTAATTGATTTTTAGAGAGAGAGAGGGAGAAAGAGGAGAAACATCAATGGGAAAGCAAAACATTGATGGGCTGCCTCCTGCATGCCCTCTACTGGGGATCGAGCCTGCAACCTGGACATGTGCCCTGACCAGGAATTGCATCGAACCCACAAGTTCCGGGGCTAAATGCTGTGTTTTTTTTTGTTTTTAATTAAAATGTAGCCTTTATTACTCACACAAATCAAGTGGGAAACTGTGGTTTTGGATCTGCAGCCAAAGGGCCTGCTAATTGCTCCCTGGAATCAGATGGTTGAGCCATCTAGGCTCGGGCCGCTCTAGAACCCCCACCCCCTCACACACACACACACACACATGCCACCAAGCCTGTGGCCGGCAGGCCGATCTGAGGGAGAAAGAAGCCTAGAAGAGACTGGCCCCACTTCCCAGTTCTTTGTCTAAATGCGGATAAACCATCCTCCCCCGGCGAGGAGTGAGTCAAGGGACTCCCCTAGAGCCCTCTCCCTGGAAACCCAAGCACAGAAGGAAAAGAACCTGGTCCCACCGGTGTTTTAGAAAACCATTATCTTATTTAATCTCTAAAACCACCTTGTTGTAGAGTCCTGTCATTCCCATGTTACAGCCAAGGAAACAGACTTGGGGAGAATGAGCCGTTTCCCCCAGATGTCGCCCCTAATTACAAACCTGGCATTCAAACCCGATCTGATTCCTTCCCCGAGTGCCTCCCAGGGCTGAGGTGGGTGACACACACGAGTGGGAGGACAGGGCAGGTGAGTGTCCCTGTGAAGTTGACGGCGAGACAAGGAGTTGGGGAAAGGCCCTGGGGATGCCAGAGGGGGTCGGGAGAAGCTGTGTCTGCTGGCTGGAGGCGCAGCTGGTGGCTGCCCCCTTCCCTGCTGCTGCCTCTCCCCCTCCAGGCTGGTGCAGAAGGCCGAGCTGGTGCGACTGTCCCAGACCCTGAGTCTGGTGCCCCGGCTGCACTGGCTGCTGGTGGAGGACGCGGAGGGCCCCACCCCGTTGGTCTCCAGGCTGCTGGCTGCCTCTGGCCTGCTCTTCACACACTTGGCGGTCCTCACTCCCAAGGCCCAGAGGCTCCGGGAGGGCGAGCCAGGCTGGGTCCGTCCCCGCGGTGTAGAGCAACGGAACAGGGCTCTGGACTGGCTCCGGAGCGGAGGGGGCGCTGTCGGGGGAGAGAAGGACCCTCCGCCCCCGGGGACCCGGGGAGTTGTGTACTTTGCTGATGATGACAACACCTACAGCCGGGAACTCTTTGAGGAGGTGAGCACCGGGAGGGGCCGGGAAAGGGGCCGCGGGCCAGCTTCCTGTTGCCTCGGTTATCACTGTTGCTCTAGGGCAGCGGTTCTCAACCCGTGGGTTGCGTGTGTCAGCATTTTGAAAAACCCTAACTTAACTCTGGTGCCGTGTCACATATAGAAATTTTTTGATGTTTGCAACCATAGTAAAACAAAGACTTATATTTTTGATATTTATTTTATATATTTAAATGCCATTTAACAAAGAAAAATCAACCAAAAAAATGAGTTCGCGTGTCACCTCTGACACGCGTGTCATAGGTTCGCCATCACTGCTCTGGGCTGTTGGGTGAGGAGGGGGGACATGGGGCAGAGAACCCAAGTGGTCCTTCCTGCTGCTCCCTGTCCGCTGGGCCACTCCCTGTCTGTTTCTTGTCTCCTGACCTCTTAGATGCGCTGGACCCGTGGTGTCTCCGTGTGGCCTGTGGGGCTGGTGGGCGGCCTGCGGTTCGAGGGCCCGCGGGTACAGGATGGCCGGGTTGTGGGCTTCCACACGGCGTGGGAGCCCAACCGGCCGTTCCCAGTGGATATGGCGGGATTTGCAGTGGCCCTGCCCTTGCTGTTGGCTAAGCCCAATGCCCAGTTTGACGCAACCGCTCCCCGGGGCCACCTGGAGAGCAGTCTCCTGAGCCACCTGGTGGACCCCAAGGACCTGGAGCCACGGGCTGCCAACTGCACCCGGGTAAGAGGAGGGAGGTGGGCATGCAGCTCTGGGGTGGACGGGGGATGGGAGAAGAGGGGTGAGGCCCTGGGAGGAGGATCACAGGGCAGGTGTTGGAGCAGGAGGGACCCTCACCCTCCGGAACTCAGCTGCAGCCTTGCTTACTCCTGAAGGGCAGCGGGAGCCAGAGAAGGACAGGGGGGCCCTGCCACTCTGTCTCCCAGAGTCCTGGGCACCTGCCTGGCCCACAGAGGTTAAGGGGTTAAGGCCCCATTTTCGAGGCACCGAGGCTCCCACACTGTGTAGAGGGGGTTGGAGAATCCGGTCTACACCGAGGGCCCAGAGGCCCGGCTCTCACGGAGTCCTCCCGGGACAGGTTCTGGTGTGGCACACGCGGACGGA